TTTAAAAAAAAAAATTGCATCAATGGACCAATCAATGGACACCTGCTCACCAGAAATAAAACAATTATACAATAAAACTGCCAAATTGTTTTAAGACATTTTCTAACATATTCTTGGGAATGATAAGACTTAAGCTGCATCCTTTTACACCTGTGGTAAAGGTATCAAAAATATTTCTGAACATGCTTATTTACTTCAGTTATCTTTTATTGATATTAAAGTTTATTTCATGATAAAAAACATTTTGTGGGACAAATGTATAGGGGAGCAAATTTTTTATAAATTGAGATATTTTGAATGAACATATGTGATTGAAATCAGAGCTGCTTTCAGCAGCAACGGTTTTGTGTAGGAATCATAATTGGCAGGTGAGACCCTAGACAAAGCCAGAAATCTATAATTAGCTAGAAAAACCCGATCATTTTATTTACAGTCATAAGTGATCTGATTAATGTATCTAAGTAATCTTGGAGACATTATTCCAGCCTGACACACGGCTGCTGGTAAGCAGAGGAAGCAGCTGTGCAGTTTAGATCAAACTTCGTGGAGTGGAGAGCTAACAGGCTTTTCCTGATGGCCACCTTCCCTACATTCCTGGCCAACAATAACACCATTGGCACACCTAATGACAAGGAGCAGAGAGAGGCAAGCCAAAGGCCATGTTATTGGTCAGGTTGTTGGGTTTATCTGGAGATCTACAAATGGCTATGGCCTTGAGTAAACATGGGATTTTCCAAAGCATCACCCTTTTTAAAATCATAATCAACAATGGAGTCACAGTATCTATGTAAGCAGATGATACACAAGCTTAGTGCCTCAGCAGCATTGTGTGGCTGGAATTTCAGGAATTTTGTTTTGGGAGGAATGCATTCAGCTTACAGACCAATTTAAAGCAGGTCTGACCCTGTAATAAGCAACCTCACAGGCATCGTTCCTCTGGGGCGGTTGTATTACGTTAAAAATGCCTGCTGATGGTCTGATAGTAGGAAAAAACTCACTCCCAGGATGCAGATGATGCAGTGAAGGACCTTGACATGGCAGTGGGACTGGCATAATTTATCCCACACAAGCTTGACATTAGGTACCTGGAGAACTCCCCTCAGCACTCTCCTTTTGGTCTGAAAGATTACAAACATAACACGTTATGGATAAATCATTACGCAGAGAACTAGCACTTTAATAATGTATTTTTTACAGATTATTTTTAATTATTAATGCTGACAGAGGGTAATGATATGTCCCTGTGTGGAGCTTGACCTCAAGCTTTTCAGGGGCCTTCGGAAGAAAGAATGTCTCGCATCTGTGATGTTCTTTAAACAGTGCTGGTGTTCCCAGAAATAACGTTTAAAGAAAAGTGAAAGGATAAAAGAAAGTTAACGAACTCCACTGTTAGAGAGACCAGCACAAAGGACATCATTCTCTGTATTGTGTGTGTGTGTGTGTGTGTGTCAATGTAAGGACGATACGATCTAAAAATTTAAGATTGGTTGTTGGGTTTGATGTGTTTTCAGTCATGGATGGCTTCGAAATCTTCATTGCATTTTAATGTTCATGATGATGATATCTGCCAACCTTTTAAATCAGCTTTTGACAATTACACTTCCATCCATTTTGATTTAACCCTCCCATGAATATGTATCTAAGTCCTACTTTATATCATCTGTATCTCTCTGTCAGAAGACACCACCACACTGACACACACCACCGTCCAATTGGCCAAGCATAGTTTTTGCTATCTAAATGACCACATGCATCTTTCTGTCTTTCCCTGCACAGTTAATGATAATGATTGTTGCACACATTTTTATGCCACTGTGTGTGCAATTTGCCTTGTGCCTCTGTAAGTGCAAATCTATTTTTGTGTGCCTGCATGAGCTAATATGTCTTAACACGTAGCTTAAGCAGACACTCAGCCATTGCCAAACCTACAGCCAAGTGACAGATCATTAGACAGTAGCACTGAGCGTGGCTGTAATTTACTATGAAGCCGGTAGATCATCCCCTCTTGCTACATCTGACCTTCCCGTTCCAGCAGTAATTGTTTGTAGGAAGGTTATTTTTAATGCTTGTCACTGACTGTCATGAAGAAGGTTTTACTAAAGGCTTGGAGCATTTAGGCGATGACAGCTAGGGGCTTAGTGAGGTAAGGGACTAACGGCATTGAGAGAAGAGCTGTTGGCTGGTTGACGAGCAAAGGATGTAGGCTGGATTGGTACAAAATATGGCTGAAAACAAATCAGTATGTGCTAATAAAGATGGTCTAAAAAATAGATTTAGATTATACACAAACTTCATTTGTACAACAAAATTCCAATTTCCAAGTAGTTTACATTAGAAATAATTGTCAGTTTGTACCAAGATTTCCTAACATTATATATTTTCTTTGATACATTATGATTCTTTTACTGAGATCCCAGAACAGGAGCCGCATGGGCCAGAGTTTTCACTCAATTCAACTCAACATCTGCATTTTACCGGACTATTGAGCAGCTTCTACCACCCAGGAGCTTTGTGGGGTGAAAGGTTTTGCTCAGGGGCCCTGAATGACAGTCTGAGGTTTGATCTTCTTATCTTGTAGCATCCCCAGGACACAAATCTCCTGCTTCTAACAGGGGGCGCCACCATTGGATATCAGTCAAATATCCGATTATGTCAGCTGGTATCTCAAACCTAAACCCGCATGTTTGGAAAAGAAGCGTAGTGGCTCAACTGAAAAAGACTAGAGAATGGGAAAATGCAAATTTCAACGGTGGCTGGAACAACAGGAATTTGGGATGTGGATGCAGCCTGTCGACGGTAAAGATGACGGAGGATTTTGCCGATTTTTTTTTTAAAGAAAAAAAAGTACCTTTGCACAATGTGTGTCAATCCGTTACGATTTCAAGAGCAGTCGAACAGCCACAGATCAGCTTTGAGGGACAGACAACAGCTAACAATGTCAAGTTATATTTCTGTAACCAATGCAGCCATGTCTGCAGTAGCTGCCACCACAAACAGCACAGCACCAGCTGGAGCAATCACTACCGCCACTAACTTTGAGAAAATCAGACTCTTCCAACAATATTTGGATCCAATGCAATACTGCAATGCAATGCATAGGGGGTGCTCTGGTTTCTGAACACAACCGTGCAACACCACTCACACGCTTTTAATGACGGTGTATCCAAATTGTTCCCGGCAATGTTTCAAGATTCAGAAATAGCCAATTCTTTCACCTGTGGAAAATTGTTTTATCACACTAATGACTCAAATGCTAACAAAATCCAATACTCTAAAGAAGAGGTAAAAGGACAAATGTAGTAAATTTAAAAATGTTGAGTCAGAACTCAAATTGAAAGCGAACCAACTGAGACGCGTGCATTAATCCTCTTTTCTAAAAAAATTAATCCTTCTTACTAAATGTACCATCTTCTGTAGCATTCTACTTTCCATGTTATTTTTGAAGCATGTGTTTTTGTATCCACTTTTTTAAAATATTTCCAGTTAATTTCCATTTCAATTTTAGTCCTATGTTCTTAAATCTTCTTAAGGCACTTTAGAATACCTAGATTACATAGAATACTTTTTAAAAAGTCTCTCCCTCGTCATGGGTACTTGTTGATGGCATTAAAATTATGTCAAACAGTATTAAAAAGCATTAAATTAAAGTTACCCATTTCTTTATAAACCCTGCACTTGTTCAAATATTTTCTAACAGTGCAAAATAAATAATAAAATTATGTATGATACGTCGTAATATCTTATTTGGTCAATATCAGTATCGGAAAATTCTCAAAGCTGGAATATCGTTATGGTATCTGAAATTAAAAGTTGCATCCGTATATCCCTACAAAAAGAGGCACCAAAAATATGCAGGACAGGTGTACTTTAGGAGCCATTTGGAACCACGGATATAGATAGGACAGGAATTATCAAAAAGCCAAGTTGGAATAGAATTAGCAAAGCCAACTCAGATCAGAATCATTAGATTATGTCCCACATGTTAATATTGTGGTTAAATAATCAAATTATATTTATTTAATCTTATTATATCTTCAGAATTTCCTTCTAACCAAAACCACTTTTTCATGTATTTATCTTTACCTAAAATCAAGTAATTTATTCCATTTGTTGATTATACTATGATTACATGACAAAAGATACAGTGGTAGCTATTTAGTGAGTCAAATTTATTATAGGAAGTCGTATGAACACCCCAAAATGACACACTGTGGATAATCACATGATGGATAATGTTTTCAACGCTATATAAAGTCATGCTTGAGTCCTTTTATGAGCAGTAACAGGGTTTAGAGCATACTGGAGTATGAATGTTAAATTACTTCCATTCTGTGCAGAATTAGACTCCTGCTTTAATGAAAATGATTGTGGAAAGGGAAAAATCCACAAGTCACATTATCAGGGCTATTATGAGTTATTTAGAAAGCTTTATTTTCCCCCATACCTTACCTGTTAGGATTCAGGTAAGGCCTGGTGGCAGGATTAATGTGGATGTTTGGAGACTAGAGATATTATTAAGTCCTGTCTCCACGTAAGGCAGGATCTGTAAATCATAGATATTTTTTTTTCTCATGTTGCATTTATTCATTCATTTTTCCTGTTCCACACCAGCACTGCCTGATATGAGTGTACAGGATGCCCCAACTGATTTGTTGGGATAAAAACTGATCACATGTATCTATAATCCCCTCTGGCTTCAGCCTAGGGGTTTAATATTCATTACCTACAATAGGTGAAGTTATTTTAAAGTCAGTTAATGAAATGTGAGATTCCCCCAAGTGTAGAGGCAGCTGCAATCAAAGTAGAGAAAACCCACATGGGATCCTTTACCTAATTCAGTGTTTTGTTTTGCTTTTTTACAATTATCCTAAATGTATTATTGGTTTATAAGGCAGTTATGTGTTCCGCACAGCTTAAACCTGAAAATCCTTAAAAAGCAGATCTTTGTCATCCCTTTTTTCCCTATCTAAAGTGCGGCTACTCTCCATTTATGTTTCCAGAGGGAGTATGTGAGATCTGGTTGACGAGTGAAGACACAGGTGCTTACGGCAGAGACATAGGGACAGATCTGCCTACATTACTGTGGAGGCTGGTGCAGGAGATTCCTGATGGAGCCATGCTGAGGCTGGGCATGACCAACCCACCTTATATCCTGGAACATCTGGAGGTACGTGCAGTCACACAGACTAATTTTCATTTTATTTACAGGACAGAAAACCGAGTCTGTTTTTTTTCCTCTAAATAACCCAAGTTGTACCCTGGCTATATCTGTACCTAACCCAAAGTCACCTCTCTGTCATTAATAAAATACATGGTGGTTATTTCATAGTTCATCAGATCCTCATGTTATATTTGTAAATGTGTGTCAAAAATTGGACTCTGCATATTTCAGATTTCATCCAAATATCTTTCAAAAATAATGACACATTAATGTTAAATTAAACTAAAACACTGAGGCTCATAAGAACGTTTGCTCCACACTGTTTTAAAATGTTTTCCCCCCAGGTCTCACATGCGCTCATCGTAGTTAAAAAAAACAAAAAAACAAAACAATATTGCTTTGCCTAGATTTAATAAACTAAATGGCCGTACGATCTGCTTACCCAGCAGTTCAGCTCCAGCCTTCCCTCTGCTCATTAGTTCATTTTCTCCCTCTCTAATGAGTCAATTAAAGACCATTGTGTATTCCTTAGCCACCCCAATTCTATCAGTCATTATTGTCTTTTCTAATGGAACAATGGACCTTGTTTACCCCTCCTCTATTCAGTTTACTTTGTCTCTCTGCAGCTCCGTGAAAGATGCAGTATTTAGAAAAACTGAAGGCATTTTCCGCATGCTTACAGTTTTGAGGAAAAAAAAATGTCTGAAAGTAATTGCTAAATGCTATTACAGACTTTCCTCAAAAGCTGAATGTAAATATTTATGGTTAAATTTTAGGCAATGGAGGAGCTTAGAGCAGCATTAAGAGAAGGGTTTTAGATTCAGCATGGTGTCTTTATTACATTAATGAAGGATCAGTGAAATTCAAACAAATAATGCTACTATATGCTCTTAAGGTTGCACTTTAAATATGGAGGCTTTTTCCTTAAAAGTCAAGGGATGGATGAACATGAACATTTTCTTATCAAGTCCCAGCAGTTTATATACAGGAGCTTTGGGGGGTGAAGGAGGTCCACTATAGAAACAGGTTCTTGCTGGAGAAGGGACACCTTTTCTCACATTTCAGCCCCATGTAAATCCACCTTGGAGATGCGCTTCTAGAAATGGCTGAAAATTCAAAAGAGTGGCTGCACATTTACTAAATAAATAGATCACTAAAATAGCCTGTGTTTGTTTTAGTAGATTTTTAAGGCACCAATAAACCCAACTCTGCTTATGTTAGGGAAGCTCTGGTTCATGTAGTGGCTCCAGAACAAAAGTGAGGACAGGCATGTTTATTCTTCAGTGTGATAAAATTTGCCAAAAGCATCAAATCCTTACAGTAGGAGGGTTTGCACAAGGCTTACTGTAGGGCAATAAAAATCTCTGATCCTCTAAAAATCTTGAAAAATCAAATTACTTTTGTTAAAAAAAAACACATCTCCTGTAACCTTTCTAGTAATGAAAGCTTTCTCCTTTGCAGAAAAGGTTGATTTTTAAAATTCTATGAAGCTGCTGCCAGGAATTTGAGAATTGTTCTCCGCAGTAAAAATGCTCATAACAGGAAGTTCAAATATCAGAGATGATTTCTGTCCTTGTAGCTCGGCTTCATCTTAGTTGTAGAGTCTTGCATGAGATCATTAACCGGGTGGAAAATGTCAGCAAGGCAAGTAAGATGTTATTAAGGAAAAAAAAAACTTCTACTTCTGTTAGATAACTTTTTAATTTTCAGATTTCTTCTGTTTTTGCTTGTTTTGTTGTACTTTAATGTGTCAGTTCATTAAATACAATTTTAAAAAGCTGACATCTGAATGATTATCTAGATTAACTGCTCTTCAGCTCAGCTTTAATTCTTGCATTCTAAGGCTCATCTATAAAAACCTATGGAAAAAATATATAATTACAATAAAAGATTAGGAGAAAAAACAGCCAGGGCTAATGTAAAGGAAACTATAACCTAGTTAGATCAGTGTTTTTAAGGCAAGTTTAAAAAAGCTACTTAAATTTGAACAAACAAGAATGATTGAGATCATAGATGAGAGGAAAGAGGGCAGGAAAAAAGGAGATAAACGGGAGGGTCGAAGGCCTGGGGATAGAGATGAGAGGTAAGGAAGAGTATAAAATAAGTGCTGTGGGAAGCAGCAATGGAGGTTGTAATTAACCAGGGGTTAATGGAGGTGTCTAATTGTCCCCCTCATGTATAGGTAGGCTTTCTGCTTGGCTACATTACAATTAAAAAACCATCCTCCTAATGATAGGGAATAACAATTAACTGATAATTAGAAATATACTTGGGTGCCACACTAGCTTAGTCTATGTGGATGTATGTTAAGAATCATTCATATGCTACCAGCTCTTTTATTGTTAACGTCTATGCAGTGAATTGAATTATATCTTTTTTTCTGCCTTAATTCCTCAGTCAATTAACCTACATAAAGGAAGATAAGAATGGTCTTCCTTAAGTTGTCATTTCCTTTTGTTGCTCCCGTCCCCTATTTACCCTTTCTCCTTCCCCTCTTCTCTTCAACTCATTGTCTGCAAGCCCTAGTTATTTTATTGTGCACATTTTTTATCTTATACCTTGTAAATTAGAATATATAGTTATTAGTTACCCGCCACTTTAAAGATTCAGCTTTTAGAGATTCTTCATTTAATTTCCCTCCTTTTAAGAAGACACAGACTTTTTTTTCTCTTTTCCTAACTTTTTATAGAGGTAATATAAATGCTCTGATGAGGGCCAGTTATCAGAACTATATTTATCCATCATCTATGAGTAAGGCCAAATAATAGCCTGCTGTCTTTCCTTTTCTACCGAAGACCAGCACTTATATAAGATCATCAAACTGAATGGCTGTGATTGAAGCTGAAAAGGCCAAGTAACTTCACCACTAGCCTGCTAAAGATCACCCTCTCGCACACATTCAGATCAACACTTTGGTGCCGTCTCCTTCTGTCACACAAGAGCACTTTTTTTTTCCCTTTCTGCAGCATGTTTTTCTTGACAGATGTCACCAGCCTCATAGCACCATTTGTTGATTGGAGTAGTTAAAGGCCCAATCGCCTCTCATGGGCCACTTCTCGCTGACATTTTAGTTGATTGCATTGTGCTGTCAGGAGTTCCTTTCTGAGTAGCTACATAAAAAAAAATACATCTGTCATTTTCTGATATTTTTCCCTCTATAAACTGTATATTTTTAACTTCAATTTATGTCAGTCTCCACTGAAGTTTCTCCACAAAAAAAGTAGATTTAAGAACTTAGTAATGATTTATGAGTGTACTAATGTAAAGTCAAACATCTGAATATATCAAGAAAGCAGGAGCAGTAGGTAAATAAAGATGACGATCAGACCTAACCTCACGAAAACTACCCAAATAAAAGACATCATTTGTCACCTGGGCAACCATCACCAGTGAAGGGACTGAGAAGAGATTTAAGAATTCCAGTCCGAGGAGCAATAGATAGCGATAGAGGCCCTGTTGAAACCTTCCTGTAAACGTTTTGTTAACCTTTATTCAACCAGGAAGACTGATTTATCAGCCGCATAATGTATCTTCAGTCTAATCAAACAGACAAGTTTTTATCAGACATGCTTTCACTCATTCACAATCATATATTTATTTTGTATTTCACAAGGGAATTACAGTATAATACAAATTAAGAGTAGATCTCAAATCTGGTTTCCCTTTATGCAAACCTCCATCCCTCATAAAACACAAAACAAACGTGCAATCAAACAAAAAACACACAAATAAGAAAAATAAAGTATATGCATATGTATGTATACTCCTATCTCCATGTAATAAAAAAAAAATCCACCCTGATTCATCAAATTTCAGTGACGTGCCTTACATCCAGATGAATAACACAATAGGCTGTTGCTACCAGTGAGTCTCTTGACATTTTCGTAGAATCCCCAAAACGTGCTAAATTCAAAATGTTTACAGGGCCTGGTCGATAACTGTTGCTACAAAATAATCAAAAACGCATATATTCACCTTTTTCATAACTGTTTTTACATGGTATTTTTTGAGCATGAAAATAATATTTGCACCGGATGCGATCAGCACACATGAACATTGCTGAATATTGCTAAATTCTAAACTTGAACAATGAGGAATATCGTACACACTCCATACCCTATTAGCTTTGGATCACTGTACCTTAGAGCCACTGAATAGCATTACTATCACTAGCAAAAAGCCAGCAGAATGTATTATTATATTTAAGGAAAAAGACTGTCCTAATCATTACTTCACTCAATTTTTTTCTTACTGAAGTCGGCGTAAAAAAATATTACCTCGAAAAAACGTTATTTTCACCTCTAGCGGCTAAGAATGGCAGTGGGATATCCTTTACTGCTTGGCCGGCTGCAGAGGGCTTTCATTGAGGACTCCACAGATGATGTTCCGATGGGTCTTTAAAGTTGTGTTAGAACAACTTTTTTCCAACTCCAACACAACAAACCGGTTTCAAAGAAGAGAACAAAGGGTATAAACACCCCGAGAGTCGGGCATCCAGGGAATCTGACTTTAAACTGCGCAAACGTCTAAGTTGAGGCAATGTAACCGGTTGGCTAATGATACATGGATGTTGACTGTTTTTCTGACTGTTTTTCTCTTTTTGAGTATTATCACTTAGATTAGATTAGATTTGATTAGATGAGCTTTAATGATCTCACAGCGGAGAAATTCACTGGTCACATATATTAGTCAAGCCTTTTTTGTTGGATTTGCACTACTATTGAATCGGCTTAGTTTTTGGTATCTGTCAATACTCCAAACTGCGATACCGGCATCGATAAATAAAAAAGTAGTTTGGTGTAATTACCTTAACCTTTTTGTTAAAAAAACATCCAGTCTTTCTTTTTACTTTATCGCCTCTCACATATTAAATAAAGGTCTATTCACATCTGCAACAAATATCCTTTCAACTGCATCAATGCCATTTTAAGCTAATCTTGGCTGCAGGTAGAATTCTTGTAACCTGACTCCGCCAGATGGATTTTCTCCGCATATCCATCAGGAAA